TTAGGAAACATATTTAATATCTTATGAAAATCAAGCAAAAAATACCCAAGGAATTTAGTCAAGCATAGAAGGATAAAACCTGGATTAAGTTTGTGCTTTCTTTCTTTCTGGTTTCCCTTTTCCAAGTTGAAATTAGTATGATAGAACCTTACTTCAATATATGCAACTTAAAAGGCAAGAAAATTATAATTAGTTATTTAGTTTTAACCAAAATAATAAACAAAATTCAGAAGACCAAAGTGTAAAAATGACAACTTATGTTGTATGCACTATGCTCCAAAATAACAAATATCATGTCATGTTCTATTTAAGCCCAACTAATAATGAAAAATGAACTCATAGTAATAGAACATATGACCAAAATCAAATGGAAAGACTAAAAAAAGTGAGCTTGACCCAGTTTTTTCCTGGATTTTTCAGTCATTTTTGGTCGATTTCCAACCAGTTTGTCATGGGGATTTTGATATTATAATAAAGACAAGATAAATGTTGATATTTTGATACCAAAATCACTAGAAACCATTGACAAGTAAGCTTTAATTTTATCATCTTAAAAATAGGGGTTTTTTTCCCAAGTTTTCATCATTACAATATTGGACAGCAAGTCACCAACCATTACCATAAGAGAGCTTGTATCAATTGCAAATATCATGAATACATAATGTCAAAATTAATCAATTAAATGTTACTATGTTAGAATTTATAAACAAAATCATACATTGGTTTGAGAAACAATGCAATCGACTTCCACAATTCCATTTCTAGTTCCAGAATCCATATTTGAAGAAATACAAATGCAATCGACTGTATCTAGATTTGAAGGGTTGAGATTTGAGAAACAATGAACGATTGATATTTGAGAGTTTAATCAACAATCGTGTATTCGAGTAAATATAGTCGGGCAGTTGGCAATGCGCCAATGCATCAACTGATCATCAATATCGAACCATCGTCCCATGGGCAGTCGTTAGACTCGTTATCGTTGATCATCTTCCTCTGGAACTGGAACATCATCGTCGAAAATCAAAAAAGTTGAACACTCAAAGAACAATAGAAATCGTCAATTTCAAATCGCCAAAACCAACGGTCTTGTAAACTGTGATGTGTCTATCCTATTGTCACCAATTCAAGTTATTGGGTTTGTTATTAATAGGCCTGGTCAGTTGAGCCTCTATTATAATTAAAGCCCCCAAGTCTCAAATTATTAAACCCCAACACCAAAAACTAATATTATATAAAAATTTGATGTATTTTTGGGCTTTGATGCCATGTATGGTCGAATGGGCTGCACGTGCCCAGGATCAGGCCTGCTTATAAAAAAAATCAATAAAAAATGTGTTTATAGGACACTTCTCAAAATTATCTATAAAATAGCTGATATAACACTTATTTTAAAAGTGTACAAAAAACTTATTTAGACGTTCAAAAACGATCTATAAACTTATTATAACGTTCTTATTTAGGACGTTTTGTTATTTGGTCTTATAAACTTCAAACTCATAAAACAATTTATTAAGACACTTAAATATTGTTGTTTCATTGTAAAACCTATTTTATTGCAGTGTCATAACTCTTTTTCTCATGACCTTGAATTGATCATTGCTCACATGAATTGGAAAACTTCTAATAGGGGTCGAAATGGAATTTATTTAAAGAAGAGGGGTATTTTTGTTAACTAACTAAACATCAGGGGATTTTTTGTATTCAATAGATCTTTTTCCGCATTGATAAAGAAAATTCTGGAAACATGTTTGCAGCACACAGAGTTTGTGGTTTTCTTTTCTGCAGTAATCGATCATCATGTTGGTATATCAGGATCTCTTAACTGGTAACACTTGTGATTCTTACTTTGCTGCTTCTAAATTCTATTTATTGCATTGAATTTGCTAAAAAGAGGCTCATATTTTTGTTCGTTTTGCGTTTATAGTACGCAGATTGTTGTTATTATATGCATGTGTTGTTCGGTGTTCGTAATTTGTAGTTTGGTGTTCACTCTTTTCTTGTGATTATCTTAAATTTCGTATTCCCACAAGCCTACAATTATGTAGTATTCGGAGGTTGATTAGGGTTTTGGTTTATCCAATTTTCGTTTTTAGTTGTCAGACTTTATGGAGGTTGATCCAGAAGGGTTAGCATCGTCTTTGATGGTTAAGGCAGTGTGTATATGATGAGTTTTGGTTTAATAGTATAATCGATTTCTTTGCTTGAACCCAGTCAAAGCATATGTTTAGCATAAACATATGATAGAACCACTTGTTTAGATATAAAGAAAGACTATCAAATTGAACCGTTATTGCTTGAGGTCTTTAATCGAATGGAAGTGTTCCTAATGTAGTCATCTATATGATATAGATTCCAGTGATTGATTGGTTAATAGTTTACTGGCTGTATTAGAACTTGAAAATATATTATTTTTGTTATGTTCCTCTTCTATTGATTGCTATTAAAGTTGCTCACTAGTTCTAGAATGCATTATGTGTTAGAATGGTAAAATACTAAAATCTACTCGTAAACCTTAGCTTTGTGTTTGGAGATCGCGTTAGTTGGTGGATCTGAGAACCTAATTACAAACTGAATGTAAATCCCACAAGAGGTTATTTCAACTGGATGGGTGCGTTTTGATTATAGTTGTATTATTGATATACGTTGTGTTTGGCACAACTGGCTCATAACGTAGTTGGCTTAGAAGCAAGCTTATCAAAAAAGCGTTCCTACATTGCGATCAGAAAAAGCTAGCTTATGATATGTCAAACGGCACTTTTTGGTTAAGCTGAGCAGTCAGTACCATAAGCTGGCTTAAGAGTGCCAAACTTGTCCTTCGATGGATATTTCCCTCGTCCTTAAAAGTTCATGCGGTTCTCATTTTGGGATGTTGCATGAAAATTTGTAACATTTTTTAGTTAAAGCTACCAATCTGCCATTCTATTTTTGAAGTATATAATATTTCTATACGTCAAATACTCACACACACTTTTCACCTTTGATGAGGTTTGAACTCTTGACCTCCAGGAAGGGCTAGGCACTGGTGACCCTTTGGTCTATCTGCTATTGTTATCGTAACAAATTTGATGATATTGGTTTATATTTACAAGATTATTGGAGGATATTTAGAGATACTTGACAACTAGTCAAACTGAACTACGTGTTTTGTCAAATATTTGGCATGTTCTTGGATGGTTTGAAGAAGTTAATTTTCTCCATCATATGAAGTGTGATCTTTACTCGATTCTTGTGTTGTTATACTTGATCCACTTGTGAAATCTCAGGTGATGAGCTTCTTTCTGACTCCTTCCCCTACAAGGAAATTGAGAACGGAATGCTATGGGAAGTAGAAGGAAAGGTAAAAAGGATGACTTTGTACCTTTGATGTCAAATCCATCAATCGTATGTGTATGAGTGTGTATATATATGTGTATGTATATATATGTGTGGGGTATATATATATATATATATGAAGTATATATATATTTATATATGGCAAATACTCATGCACACCCCTTACATTTGGTGAGGTTTGAATCATTGATCTCCGGGGAGGCTGGACTCTATCAGCAACCCGGCATCCCTTAGTCAATAGTATATTTTTCGACTAATATAACATTGCCTTTGTCCTTTCTTCCATTAGTGGGTAGTTCAAGGTGTAGTTAGTGTAGATATTGGTGCTAACCCTTCAGCTGAAGGTGGTGAGGATGAGGAAGGGGTAGATGACCAAGCTGTGAAGGTAGTTGATATAGTTGATACTTTCAGACTTCAGGTACGTTCCCAAATCTATGCAATTGATTATTGATCATGCTTCTTAATCTTGTTATTTAATTTATGAATAAAATTGTTTCCTTACTATCTTATAGGAGCAACCGCCGTTTGACAAAAAGCAATTTGTTGCATTGCATACATCAAGAAGTACATCAAATTGTTGACACCCAAGTTGGAACCCGAAAAGCAAGAGGCTTTTAAGAAGAATATCGAAGGAGCCACCAAATTCCTTCTGTCAAAGCTCGGTGACCTTCAGTTGTAAGTTATTCAACTGTATGGAAGTTCAGATCTCTATTTCATAATTAAGTTTTTCCGACATCCATGTATGTAGAAAAGTTTTGAACATAAAGTTTCATCACCATGTGTGATATACAAATTAAAGTGGCTGCTTTGAGACCACAGAAAACATGTAATTCGGTTTGACTTATGTTCTGAACTGTACTTGTGGAAAAATTGGCCAACCGGAAGGCAAAAGTCAAAGCTCAGTTTCTTCATGTCGGATAGAAAGGAGGGTGCTGATGAATAATCCAGCACAACGTTAGTTATTCTTATGTTTTTTTGTAACGATGGGTATCCATCCAGCTCGCGTATACTTTGACTAATCCCATGGAATCCTAAATATAACAGTCATGAAGATCCTCAGGGCATGGCCTCTATTTGCCCTCTATTTAAGGTTTATTCTCTCATGTTTTTTCTACGGATGGCATTTGAGAAGTGAAATCTTGGTTTGTGCAGTTTTGTAGGGGAGAGCATGCACGACGATGGGACAATGGTGTTCGCATACTACAAGGAAGGAGCAACCGATCCAACTTTTCTGTATTTGGCATACGGGCTAAAAGAGGTCAAATGTTAAAACAAAATTATAATTTGAGGTCCAGGTGTGGTGTTTATCAAACTTGATTGTTATGTACAACCATAAAAAGCAACGACAAACCCTTGTGCTGCTATATATCATTCTCAGAAACTAATTGCTTTTGCATTTTGTTTGGTTCAGTTCTGCTATATTTTGGTTGATTCAAGATGACAATTACAAGTTCTTATCATTCAACATTTGGAAACAGACAACCCTTCCAAGTGACCTTCTGTCTTTTCTCGTAGTATATGATGGTCACTATATATTATTTAAAGTGTAACAGCTTGATCGCAAAGGAAGACCGACTTCCGAACTTTAGCCATATCTAATAAGCAATAGTTAAGCTGTCGATTGAGACCAAAAACTGAATTGAATCTGGTTAGAAGAAAGAAAATAGAAGCAAAATAAACAAGATATACACAAGACAAGTGTCCTTGGGCCCAAATCGTCCCAAACTGAAAGAACCATATAAAAGCAACTGCTGCAAGATTCGACACAAGACGAAAGGAAGATGTGAAATCTTATACAACTAAATTTACGGTAAAAGTAGTTGTTGAACTTGTCGTACAATGCAATGCCAAAATCACAACCTAAGCATAGTAATTTAAGCTTGATTTCTTCTTAGCCTGAACTTGGATGATCCCTTCGTTAAAGTCTTCGTGGTTTACCTGTAACACAAACAATATAATTGAATCCTCATTCACCGCTACAAGATTGACAAAGAGTTTTTAGCCAGATTGCATTTTCATAAATAAAGGGTTGTTCCCAGTTTCACCATCAAATTATAAATGGCAGACTGGCGCCAGGTCAATTTGTACCATTACATCCAACCACGTACCTCTTTATCTTATTTCAGAAACATGTAGAAATAATAACAATTATTTTCTATTACCGCCAATGCACAGAGAGATGGGACGGAGGCTACCTCTGTTGCATCACGTCGAAGAGCAAGCATGCCTGCTTCCACACAAACGGCTTTCAGTTGTGCCCCGTTAAAATCATCTGTAGACCGAGCCAGCTCTTCAAAGTTGACATCTGGGTGAACATTCATCTTCCGGGAGTGTATCTACAATACAGAAAATATAATTCAATGACCATGCTAAACAAGTTTAATGCATATAACCAGTAACATCTTCATTAAAGGATACCTGCAAGATCCGCGCCCTTGCTTCTTCAGTAGGATGTGGAAACTCAATCTTACGATCCAACCGACCAGAACGCATAAGAGCAGGGTCCAAAATATCAGCCCGATTTGTTGCTGCTATCACCTGCAGTTCTCACATGAAAAAAGCGACTGCAGGTAAGCACCAGCTCACCAAAAAATGTGGTAGTTAAAATAGCACTTCCATTACTCGCCAACACAATAAAAGAAATGATGAGATGATGTCAAAATCAGATGACATTTATCAAAACAGCTAAATCCGAGGATTCTTAAATTGTTTTTGCATTATTGATTCGAGTTACAGGATCGAACTTGGAAAGTACTCATTATCTACAAACTGCATGTTTCTGCTAGTTTGATGCTCTAAATTTTAGAGCTCGCCATGTAGCAACAAGTATAGACGTGAAGAGTAGGGTGCGACTGGTGAAAAGCACCTCTWAGCAGGACCTGGTGAAACTAGAWGTTATATYATCAGTTGTCCACTTTTTTCTCTCTCCGTGGTTCATCTTAACAAAGTTCTTTTTTACTTTGTTGGTTCAGAGGATAAAAATGTAATTATCCCACAATATACAATGCAGTTATTGTAAGCCACAAAAAAGAAAATTCGTAAGCCCATATCGACTCAGAAATAACAAAGCTTAATAGTTTCACACTTCCACTTGAGATTGAAAGAAGTACCTTTATCCGCTCATCGCTGCTAAAACCATCCAACTGATTAAGTAGTTCCAACATAGTTCGCTGCACTTCCCTATCTCCGCTAACTTCACTGCAATCACATGAGACTTGTATCAAGGAGATGTATGAATAAACAATAGCTTTATGAAAATATTCTGCCGCCCACCCACATCTCCAACAAATTATTTTAATGCTATTGACAGTGGTGGGGGAAATATATTTTTTGATAAAGGATTGGAGGGGACATACTGCAAACAGAACAGTGATATACATACCTATCAAACCGTTTTGTACCAATAGCATCAATCTCATCAATAAAAATGATGCAAGGTGATTTCTCTTTGGCCAGTTGAAATGCATCACGAACAAGTTTTGCACCATCACCAATAAACATCTGTCCATTATATAAAGATTCATCAGTGCAGAACACGTCGTTCGCATTACTAAATACAAAATGCAAGAATCCATCCAAGAAATAGCACAAATCTGAATATAATCTATAACAACCATGAGGTTGGCACGTTTATTTAGACATAATCTAATAGTGGTTTGCATTAGATGACCGATCAATTTATTAGCAATATGGAAGCTGGTTTTCTACAGTCTGCTATGCTGGTGATTTTAACTCCATGATCCTAAGAACTGCTTAAGAGTATAAGTTACAACAAATCCTACAAAATGCATCAACTACCCCTTAAATCATGCAAAAAGTTCAGGCGGAGACTCATTCTGACAATGCAAATGTTTCTTGTAGTTAATGATTCAAATGCAAAGTATAGCTGCATTCTCTTGTTGCTGCATGTAGAATTATTGACATAACCATATGTAGATAAGAATGGTTTGTGATGATATCAATTGATACAAACATATGAAATGAACATGCAATTATGCCCATCTAATCACATTACCACCTGAAATTCTTTAAATCTAACCCGGCAGAAGCACTTTTTGTGGGTAATAAGTGTTTTGTATGTTAAGGGACAGTACATATAGCTACCTGAACAAGCTGGGGTCCTGCTAGCTTCAAAAAAGTGGCATTTGTTTGCGCAGCACATGCACGTGCCATTAATGTCTTCCCAGTCCCCGGAGGCCCATACAAGAGCACTCCTTTTGGTGGACGTATCCCTAATTTTTGGAACCGCTCTTTATGCGTCATCGGCAAAACTATGGCCTCAACTAGCTCTTGTATCTGTCACATAAAATACGATCCAAAAGGGATATCACAAACCWGATAACATCAGTATGTGGGGTGTATGCTTGCAGTTATTGTATCAAGATAAAAAGCTTGCCTGTTTTTCAAGGCCTCCAATGTCATTGTAATCTTCAGTTGGTTTTTCATCAACCTCCATGGCCTTGACTCGGGAATCATACTCAGATGGCAATGTATCCAATATCAAGTAACTGTCCTTATTCACACCCACCAAATCACCAGGCTTCAGCTTATCCGGGTCCACGAGGCCAACGACAGGCAAGAAAATAGTCTGCAGAGGATACAGAAATGTGAGCATGTTAGTGACCACTAGCTCAAGCCAGAAAAATAGAACTTCTGGCTATAACTGCAAGAGATCACAATATTCCTAAATATTTGGCTCACTTATATAGAAAAATCAATAAAAGATAATTACATAAATAGCATGCATGATGTATTGTGCTTTACCTGACGAGTAGATGTTTTTAGCACAACACATTTACCCTTCCTTTGCGAGTCAAGATCGATATTTGCACCATCTTCCTCAGCTTCATCCTCTGGGTTCATTTCCAAAATCTGAAGCACCCAAGAAGACAATAGTGGCACATCAAACACTTGTAACAGAAACCTGGCATGTAACTTTATGATTCTCTCCAAAATCTAGAAAACATCCTCCACGTCTTTCTGAGTTTAGACAAGCACTTCAACACAACCAATAGTTGCAAAAGCAAGAACTAACGCATTTTATAAGATTCTTGTGTGTAAACCAGCAGACCTTTTTTATTGCTGCTACTTAATGATTACAATAAAGTTCATGATAATGCCGGCATATCTTTACAACAAACATGAAGGTTTATGTTACATATTAAGCTACTACTCCCTTATGCCCTTCAAATTAATCCAAATTCCATAAGCTGCATCCGCAAAAAAGTAGTCCCATCAGCTGTTGCTGATTAGGTGAGTAACAATGTCTTATTCAGGATAGCAACATAATCTATTTGCCGGAATGTATGAAAGCAGTGACCGTGACGCTCACAAATGGAACAGTACTGCCACAAGTTTTCATCAAAAGATAATATTGACACCACACCAGAAGAAACAAAAAGTAAATGAGATAAAGAGATATATTCACAGCTCAACAATCTCTATGAAGAAGTAAAGAAGACTCTAGAGAGGGAGAATACAGAGGGCTGAACCATTTGCTAAAGGCAAAGCAAGGGATCAAGTAGAACATACTAAACCAGAAGCTAACGCCATTGGGGTTGCAACAGAGCTAAGGTTGTCCATGAAATGGTGAAGGTCATGTGATTCGTGGTGGCGTCATGAAATTTTCAGAAGCTGGTCAGGACCCAACTAACCCGAGGCTAAGTAAAGCTGTTATGTAGTTGGTTGATGTCTTTTAGTTAGAAAAATGTTTTTGTATTTTTTTCATGAGTTTAGTCCAGGAGGAAGTTCCTACTAGTTCAACATAAACCCAGAAGCATTTTTTAATGAATACATCAATAGGACTATCAGCTGTAACTTCGAAAAAGAACATTTATTGCCAATGTGTGGGACTCCCCTAACAGTCACAGTTAAAAGTAATACATGTTAATATCATTGTTCATATGTCCCTGTTAGATTTTGTACAATTGATCCATCAGCAAGGATTTGCATTAGTAATTGCATAAGCATTTTCCTGTGTGACCATTAACAACAATTAAAAATGAAGTGGTTTAGCTTTTCGAAAGACTGCAAGTATTCCAGCAGAAATATTTCTTATAAAGTACTTGAAACAAGGTTTAAAGTGAAACCTGAACAACAGGGTCCATTAGTCTAAATTAATATCAAATTCAGCATACTGAACAGAGTTCTTATCTCAAAGTCATCTTCAGTTGTCACTATATATATCAGTTTAGATATTTTCTTGTCTCATCTACGTAGCCCTAATTTTGTATCATCAAGGATACAGAATGATTTTATCTAAAATGGAGTTAAAATGGGTCTGAACCAATTAAATTTAGGGTTTTGCAACTACATAACTTCCCTTGAGTACTCATCGAAACGGCAAACCTACTTGATCAACAGAATCAAAGCAAAAGAGTCAATAGCATAAACAACGAAATATCGGCAGTACCTCAACAATATTTCCAACCAAGTAAGGAAGCTGTTTGTTAAGTTTGATCTTCTCCTGATTCTCCTTGATCTTTTCCTTAAACGAATCCAATTCAAGATTGGTTCTCTGCAATTCTTCCTGTTTATTGTACCATAACAAACATTTCATTTTTTTTAGAAAATGCTAAATACTTACATATGAAACAACGAGAAAGAGATCCAGATATTAGAAAGAACCTTGAGGATTCGAATCTCGTTATCAAGAAGGCGAGACGCCCTCTGGATGTCTTCGGTTGACATGGCTGCCAGTTGATCATCTTCAAAGCTCGTGTCTTCTGCCATCGGCGTCGCCATCTTTACCAGAGAGGGAGGGTGGGGTGAGAGAGAGAGAGAGAGAGAGAGAGAGGGAGATGATTTTCTAAAGCTTCCGTCTTGGGGAGGAAGCAAGTTACATATGGTGAGACCCTCGACACTATTCGGGTCGGGTTTAATTCGGGTATTCAAAGATATCCAAAGTCAAAAAATAGAGTAAATTACGTCCGTATGGTTCGTTAAAGATTTTGATTTTCATCTGATTCTTTTTATAATTTATTTTTATTTTTATTCTTATGATTTACAATTTATTATTATTTCGTTTCATATGGTTTTATATAACAAAAACTAATCAAAAAGACTTTGAATCATTGAATATATGAAAATTTCTTAGTAATGGCTAATGTATGCTCGTGTCATTTGGAAATACAATCCTTTACTGTTTTGCTCTCTTGTACTTACCATTAATTAGATCAATTTTTTCACTCAAATTTGGTACTATATATATATATATATATATATATATA